CCAGGCGGGTCTCGAACCCTCAGGCTCAGGCAATCCACTCACCTCAGCCTCCCACAGGCAGGGGATTACAGGCTGAGCCACTGAGCCCGGCTGGTACTGAATTTCTAACACCTAACTTTGGCGCCTGCTTTTTTCACTTACCCTTGTGTGGAATTTTTTTCTTGCAAGTTGTTTAATTTTTATAACTGTATTTGCTTCATAATGAATTGATATAGCCACCTTCATACTATTAGACTAGCAAGTTCATATTTTTTCCCTCAGCATTATAAATAGGTATTGTTATCAACTGAGCTATTGCCTCTTTTTCTTTCTTTTAGATTACGACTCTAGGATAAATTTCTGGGACTGAGATGACTAGGTCAAAGGGTAGAGTTTATTTATATGACTACAGGTTTTGTCATTTTGGGAAGGTGATAAAACAACGGAAAATGAGGCAAGCAAATCAACTAGTCCCCTCCTGCTTTCTTCTAGCAAACCTCCTTCCCCAAACTAGTTACTTGAATTTGAGAAACAACATCAGGTTTTGGTTTTCTGGGACAATATTATTTGAGCTAGATTTAGGTTATAACACACTAACACACACACACACACACACACACACACACACAAAGATCAGCGGCCCCCTTTGAGGAAACTGAAGTGTACTTCTTGGCAAAAAATACACTGGTCTTGGGAGGGTGGAGGGAGGGTAAGCCCTGATGAAGTGGTCTGCTGCTGGAGACCTTGAAAGCGTATCTGTGGCTTATTTTTGTATCTGGGCGAGCTTTGAATATCATGCAATATTGTAGCCATTTGTCATAGAACCTTCTCGCCTAACTTGGCTCAGTAGGCTGGCAATTCCTGCCTGTTTTTTCCGATACCCTGGCTGCAGTAAAGTTGGGAAATTTAAATTGAGTGGTACTGAAGAAGGCTCAAAAAACCTGGTAAGGCTTGAACGTGTTTCCCATCTGCAGGTCTGCGAACCTTAATGATACCTCGAGTTTCCAAGGAACCCGCTGCATAAACTATTGATTATAAAAGTCAAACGGAGAGGACATTTCTGCTTTGAATAACGCGCCCCCGCCCCCCACAATCGTTCAAGCTTCTGGCGACCGCCTTCCGGTGCCGCCAAGCTCCTTGGTATGTTCTTATTTCGGAGGTTCCCATTGGGTGCCAGAGTTCCCGCCCCCAGGCCGCGCACCGGGATTGGTTGGTTCCCGGCCTTTGGCGGGTGATTGGTTGCCTGAGCTCGCCGACGATTGGGTGCTAGGAGTCGAGGGTGGGAGGCGGGAATTCGTCTCGGGCTGTGTTGCTGAGGAGTCTGCTGAGAGCTGGGGCGGAGGTGAGGGGAAGCGGCCGCGACCCCCGAATCAGGCCCGGGCAGTAGCGGCTCAGTGAGGAAGAGAATGGAGTAAGGCCTGTGCTCTGCATGCCTCTCCAGGGCTCCGCTTTCTTTGCTCTCAGAAATCGGCTTCCTTTTCTTCCGTGAGTCGTAGCCCGGTCCGCGTTGCTTCGTTTCCCCCGGGACGGGCAAGTCTGAGGGAAGCCGAAGGGAAGGGCTTGAAGCCTCCCAGCGGGGTGCGTCTGCCTCTGCCGGAGCAGTCCTATGGGCCACTCGGTGTGGCCTGGGTCGCCAGGGCCTCGGGCATCTCAGCTGGCTGTGGGAGGAGGCAAAGGTGGGGAAGAAAACCTACGAGGAGGGAGCACAGGCCCGTTATTGGCCCGGGCCCCGCCTTACCTGTTGGCGGGAGGCAGACTGGTTTGTTTGTCCTTTATGCAGTGTTTGGGGAAAGCCTTCATTTTGAGACGACTTTTGCCACAGCCGCGGTAGGGGACGGATTGATTTTTAGGTTATGTCTGAGTAACTAGGCCAGCGCTGAGTTGTTGATTAAGATTAAGAAGTTAAGATTCAGCCGGGCTCGGTGGCTCAGCCTGTAATCCCGCGCCTTTGGGAGGCTGAGGTGAGTGGATTGCCTGAGCCCGCGGGTTCGAGACCCGCCTGGGCAGCGAGAACTCATCTCTACAATAAATCAAAAAATCAGCCGGGCGTGGTAGCGCGCGCCTGTAATTCCGGCTACTTGGAAGGCTGAGGCGGAAGGATCGCCGGAGCCCAGCAGGTCGAGGCTGTGGTGGCCGGGAGCGGCCACTGCACTCCACTCTGGGCGACAGAGTGAGACTCCAACTCAAAAAAAAAAAAAAAAGTTAAGATTCCACCAAGCCTCATTCTCAGAGATTGGCATATAGGGTTTGTAACGCTTGCAGGAGAACTGGAAAACACCCTGGAACACCGGGTTCTTAACTTCTTTTGAATCACACAAGCTGGGGATAATGTCATGGACTTCATCATCTCTTGAGTTGCTATTTTGACAGTCTCTTCACCCCCGAATTTAATTTGCCATTTTTTTCACTATTACAAACAATTCCTCATTTGATAACAATGTATATCATTTCTGAGATGATGCACATTTTGATTTCCTTAGGATACTTTTATGGACAGAGAAATCAACGGACTTTCTCTTTAGGGATGTGCAATCAGGCACAGAAACTTGCGCATGCAATTTCTAGAACTCACTGTCTCTGAATTACATCTGTGGATCCTAGGATAAGAAAAGTGCTTTGGACGAGGGGGCATTTCAAGTGGACCTCCCCTTTTGTATCAAATCCTGGGTTAGGTAACTTGTGCCCTGGCTAGTTTTCATAAAAACACTGTCAGGCAGGACCTACCTGACAGGTAGTATTATTCCAGTTCCATAGATGATGGACCACATTCTGAGATGTTAAGTGATTGACAGTGGAATTGAAACTTAGGTTTGAAACTTAGGCTTGCCCCACTCCAAAGCAGTTTTCTTTCAATTATACTTTTATGGCCTCTAAATAAAATTATTGAGCACCTACCATGAGCCAAGGCATTTTCTTCCTTACAACAGTCTTTGAATTAGGTATTATTACAGGTAAAGATCTTAGGACCTGCAAATTAAAAAGACATGTCAAAGGTAATATGCCTGAGTCCCTGTCAAAACCTAATGTATAACCTGTGCTTTGTGACTCCCTGTCCACAGCTTTTTTTCTTCTAATTAGAGGACAGCAAGAAGGCACAGAATAGGAAGGGGAAAAGAGTGATGCTATGGAGTTGTAGAGAGTTGCCTCAGAAATCTGTTTGTATAAGTTGATTACATCCAGTCTAAATAGTTACAAGCACTCATGTTTAATCAGGCATGTAGTGTATCATATTGCATATTATTTCACTGAACCTTTTCAACAATCCTATGAGGGTAGATGTTATCACTATCCTTCTTTGATGAATGAGGACACTGAAGTTGAGAAGTTAAATAACTTGCACAAAGTCACATAACTTAATACATGGCAGAGGAGGGATGCAAATCCAGATTTGTTAGAC